CAAAACGAAAAGTTGAAAACAGAAGGCAAAAAAAAAAAAAAAAACGACACGCCAGAATGAAAAATATAATTAAAAAAAAAGAAAAAACATAAGCAACAATACGACAAAAACGACAAATTCTTTTATTTTTTTAATAAATACTTTAGAATACGCAACACAAAAACAAAAAATAATTAAAAAAAAGGGGGCCGGACAGAAATGGACACGGAAATGCTATCCTACGGCGGGCACGTCGAGATATTCATCCGCATCGACTCCAGCCGTGTATGCGTGCCACGTCGAGATATTCATCCGCATCGACTCCAGCCGTGTATGCGTGCCACTCTGCACGCCCGTTTTCTTAAAAAAGATAAGCAACAGTACAGCAAAAATGACAAATTCTTTTTTTTTTAATAAATATTTTAGAATTTGAAACACAAAAACAAAAAATAATTAAAAAAGGGGGCCGGACAGAAATGGACACGGAAATGCTATCCTACGGCGCATCTACTCCAGCCGTCACTCTGCACGCCCACCCGCCCTCGATCCCCTTCATCCGCCGGCCGCATGAAAACTTCAACCCTATTCCGGCGGCAGCGGAACACCGGCCTCCCCCCGCGGCCAATGCTGCTTAAGGGTTAGGATTTGGTTCATCCGCCGGCCCGCATCAAAACTTCAACCCGATTCCGGCGGCAGCGGAACACCGGCCTCCCCCCGCGGCCAATGCTGCTTAAGGGTTAGGATTTGGAAGGGATTCCTGAAGGTGACCACAAAAAGAAAAACTGCAAGGAGCAAGTGTGAGTTGGATTAGAAATATTTCAAGAGTATTTAATATTAACTAAAATTTGCAAAAAAAAATTGAGAAGAGAGTCGGAGATGCTTCCCCGTTGACACGCTCTTGGTGGTGGGTGAACAATCCAACAATTCTCATGGTGTGTGAACAATCCAACACGTCGTGAATTCTGCTTCACAACGATAGACGAGCGGACATCGGGGATCAAAACGCAATGTCGCTACGAAGACTTGGTTGCCGCAGGCCTCGTGAAAGGAGCGGTAGGCCGTGCTCTCACAGTTTTACTCGAACTGGGAGCGGATCGCTAGCGGCTCTCACGTTGTTTCTCAGAGTGGAACTACGGTCAGATGCAACAGGGTCTTCGTTCACTGGCGACAAGAACAGGAGTGCCGCTCCATTCAAGATGACCATGCCTTTCGAGTGGATCGACCACGCCATGCTCGTCCAGAGGGTAGTGACGTGGGGGAAGAATTGTGCCAAAAGTTAAATCGGGGAGAGTGGCTGGAGGACGCCAGATCTGGCAATGGCACGCGCAGGAAGGGGCAGAGCGGTTGGGGCGGGAGGCAACATGAAAGGTAATGAAAGGCAAAAATAATTTGAGAGAGGAACATGGTGTAGCGTGGGGGTGTGTTGTATTCGCCGGATTGCCTGAAGTGCAATTACGAACTGTTTTCGTGACTGCGCCGAAGTTACCCCAAAAGAAAAAGAAAACAAGAGCAGTACGATCGGGCGCGCGTGGTAGGGTCACAACAGAGGGACCGATCGGGGAGGAGGGGAAGGGGAAGCAGCGCCGGAGCGGGATCCAGATTGGCGGAACCGAGCGATAGCAAACGGAAGGCGCTGGCGGGAACAGGGAAATGGGCGAAAGAAGTCGAGCGTACGGAGGGTGCATGGGTGCAAGCGGAGAAGACGTGGCGGGAGGACGGTGATCAGGAAAAGGAGGGAGAATCAGGGAGGGGGGAAGGCTTAGCAGGCGGGAAGGGATGGCGCACGCGCAAGTGCGCGCCTGGTGGCGAGCCGCAAATCCGAGGGCGGGGAGAAGCGGCCGGGGATAGGCGAATGCAGTCAGCGAGCAGCGCAGCGGGCGTTGTAACAGGCGAGCGTAGTCGGGGTCGGGTAGAAACGGGGCACCGAGGAGGTGTGGCCCGGCAAAAGGGTGCATGCCCGGCAGCGCGGTAAACGCGCTCGGAAGGGGAGCGAGTGAGGAGGGAGTTGCGCGGGAGACGGTGCGAGTCCAGCAGCGAGAGCCACGAGAAGGGAGACGGTGCGAGTCCAGCAGCGAGAGCCACGAGAAGGGAGGGGACGGTCGTAGTCGAGGGCGGGGGAAAGGAACGTGAATGGGAGGTGATGGGGAACTGGCGGGATCAGAAGGGGGGGAAGTGTGTCGATGGGGACAGAGGGCAGAGAGCAAGGCGCAGCGGGGAAATAACGGGGATGGTGACGCGTCAGATGAAGGTTGGGGACCAGGAGGGCGGGATGGCCGAGGGAAAGTGATGGGTGGGGAGCACCGAGGCGATAGTGGGGGAGAGGCAACTGGCGTTGCGAGAGGAATATGGGAAGGACAGGCAAGCCGACAGTTAGTCCCGCTTAGCGGAGCAATCAATGCTGGTCAGGGGTCCTGCGGCCTCAGGCAAGCATCCGTGAGTGTTTGAATGCTGTATTCTTGAGGCTTGCCGGGGGAAAAGTAACCGGACTCCAGGTCTCCAGAATGCATTCGGAGTCAGGACCATAAGGAGTTTGTTTGGCGGAGAAAAGGAAAATATATTCGTTCAGGTAGTTCAACAGGTGATGTAACAGCAGCATAGACATGATTGGAGGTCGCATGCCCAACGCGCCGTACTTTTGTCATTGAGGCAAGGCATATGATGGCAGCTGTGCGCTTCTACACAGGTGCTGCCATCGTCGCTCTTGCCTGCGTACCAGTGTGCATTCTGCAGTTCAAAGAATCTATTTCATGTATCAACACACTTACAACCCCATGGATTAAGTGTGACGACCATCCACTCTCTCCACTATTTCTACATCCAAGTCATTCATACACTTCCCAGTTGCCTGAGCATAATGTCTTGCTTGTCTGTAAACTTTCTATCCAAGCCGTTTATTATATTTTGAGGTACCGACCTCAACGAGGAGTGGAATGGCCCCTGCTGCAGCAATCTCAATTCGATTGTTGTCATTCACTGACATGTTGCACAACGCAGCTGCAGACACCTCTTGAGCGCAAGGTGTAATTTCTGGCTGCCTGGGGTCCAGCATGGCGACCAGAGATGGAATGGCACCTGCAGCCGCAATGGCAAATTTGTTGATGTCTGTCTTTGCTGAGAGGTTAACCAAAGCACCTGCCGCTGCTTCACGGGCTGCCTGTCCATAACAATCAACAGTCGACCACAAGAAAGTATTGAAGACAAGCAGAACATAAGGAAAAGGCAAAAAGAGATCCACTGATGGCAGGGAGATATCAGAGTATAGAGTGGGGTACAGAAACGGGGAGATCGATGGTGGGAGCAGTGCAACAAGAAACGGATCAACAGCCAGAGATCAGCCGTGAAGAGAGGGGCATAGAAGCATAAATTACTAACCTCCGAATAGGAAATCACACGTATATACCACCTCATCTCCTTAGCATCAATCAATTCAATTTTTACAATACAAAGAACTGAACAAGGTACATGGTACCATCTTTGAGAAATCCATAATGGCAAGTGCACGTTTCAGTTGATACAGGGTAGCTCAGCCTCAAATTGCAGAGCAAACTCTGCAAGGGAAAATAACAATTTCAGGAATTCAATAGCAAACTGAGAGATTTTGGTGAAAAAACATGATCTCCCTGGGCCTGTTTTTTGGAGTGAGAATGCAATTCTTACCTGCGTGGCAACCAGCAGTGAGGCTACGTGTACACACCCTGGTTGGGTGCGCGTGTATGACTGGGTACACCGGGTCGCAGGGAAAAACGAGTACCCGTGCTGGGGAGGGGTTAAGTACTCATCTTGGGGCTTAACTTTCACCCCAGTCCACTTAGACGTTTGGTTGAGTGTTTACCTCTTAACGTGGAGGTCGCGTGTTCCATCCTTGGATCGGCGCGGACGGACAGACTCTTGTCTGGAGTGAGAATGCAATTCTTACCTGCGTAGCAACCAGCAGTGAGGTCGTACAGTGTATGGTGGCTGCTTCTACACACCCTGGTTGGGTGTGTGTGTGTGACTGGGTACACCGGGTCGCGGGGAAAAACAAGTACCCGAGCGGGGGTGGGGTTAAGTACTCATCTTGGGGTTTAACTTTCACCCCAGTCCACTTAGCCGTTTGGTTGATTGTTTACCTCTTAACGTGGACGTCGCGTGTTCGATCCTTGGATCGGTGCCGACGGACATATTGTTGTATGGAGTGAGAATGCAATTCTTACCTGCGTAGCAACCAGCAGTGAGGTCGTACATTGTATGGTGGCTGCATCTACACAGGCTTGTTGGGTGCAAGTGTGTGACTTGATACACCGGCTCGCGGGGAGAAACGAGTACCCGTGCTAGGGTGGGGTTAAGTACTGATCTTGGTGCTTAACTTTCACCCCAGTTCACTTAGCCTTTTGGTTAGGTGTTTAGCTCTTAACGTGGAGGTCGCATGTTCGATCCTTAGATCGGTGCGGACAGACAGATTGTTGTCTGGAGTAAGAGTGCAACTCTTACCTTTGTAGCAACCAGCAGTGAGGTCGTACATTGTATGGTGGCTGCATCTACACACCCTGGTTGGGTGCGCGTGTGTGACAGGGTACACCGGGTCGCGGGGAAAATCGAGTACCTGTGCTGGGGTGGGGTTAAGTACTCAACTTGGGGCTTAATTTTCACCCCAGTCCACTTAGCTGTTTGGTTGAGTGTTCAACTCATAACGTGGAGGTCGAGTGTTCATTCTTGGATCGGTGCGGACGAACAGATTGTTGTCTGGAGTGAGAATGCAATTCTTACCTGCATAGCAACCAGCAGTGAGGTCGTACATTGTATGGTGGCTGCGTCTACACACCCTGGTTGGGTGCGCGTGTCTGACAGCGTACACCGGGTCACGGGAAAAATCAAGTACCTATGCTGGGGTGGGGTTAAGTACTCATCTTGGGGCTTAACTTTCACCCCACTCCACTTAGCTGTTTTTGTTGAGTGTTTACCTCTTAACATGGAGGTCGCGTGTTCGATCTCTGGATCAGTGCGGACGGACAGATTGTTGTCTGCAGTGAGAATGCAATTCCTACCTGCGTAGCAACCAACAGTGAGGTCGTACATTGTATGGTGGTTGCTTCCATACACCCTGGTTGGGTGTGCGTGTGTGACTGGGTACACCGGGTCGCGTGGAAAAACGAGTACCCGTGCTGGTGTGGGGTAAAGTACTCATCTTGGGGCTTAACTTTCACCCCAGTCCACTTAGCCGTTTGGTTGAGTGTCTACCTCTTAACGTGGAGGTCGCGTGTTCGATCCTTGGATCGGCGCGGACGGATAGATTGTTGTCTGGAGTGAGAATGCAATTCGTACCTGCGTAGCAACCAGCAGTGAGGCCGTACATTGTATCGTGGCTGCGTCTACACACCAAGGTTGGGTGCACGTGTGTGACTGGGTACATCGGGTCGCGGGGAAAAACGAGTTCCCGTGCTGAGGCGGGGTTAAGTACTCATCTTGGGGCTTAACTTTCACCCTAGTCCACTTAGCCGTTTGGTTGAGCGTTTACGTCTTAACTTGGAGGTCACGTGTGCTATCCTTGGATCGGCGCGGACGGACAGATTGTTATCTGGAGTGAGAATGCAACTCTTCCCTGCGTAGCAACCAGCAGTGGGGTCGTACATTGTATGGTGGCTGCGTCTACAAACGCTCGTTGGGTGCGCGTGTGTGACTGGGCACACCGGGTCGCGGGGAAAAACGAGTACACCTGCTGGGGTGGGGTTAAGTACTCATCTTGGGCTTAACTTTCACCCCAGTCCACCTAGACGTTTGGTTCAGTGTTTACCTCTTAACGTGGAGGTCGCGTGTTCGAACCTTGGATCGGTCCGGATCGGTACGGACAGACAGGTTGTTGTCTGGAATGAGAATGCAATTCTTACCTGCGTAGCAACCAGCAGTGAGGTCGTAGATTGTCTGGTGGCTGCGTCTACACACCCTAGTTGGGTGCGCGTGTGTGACTGGGTACACCGGGTCGCGGGGAAAAACGAGTAGCCGTGTTGGGGTGGGGTTAAGTACTCAACTTGGGGCTTAACTTTCACCCCAGTCAACTTAGCTGTTTGGTTAAGTGTTTACCTCTTAACGTAGAGGTCGCGTGTTCGATCCTTGGATCGGTGCGGACGGGCAGATTGTTGTCTGGACTGAGAATGCAATTCTTACCTGCATAGCAACCAGCAGTGAGGTCGTACATTGTATGGTGGCTCCGTGTACACACCCTGGTTGGGTGTGCGTGTGTGACTCCGTACACCGGGTCGCGGCGAAAAACGATTACCCGTGTTGGGGTGGGGTTAAGTACTCATCTTGGGGCTTAACTTTCACCCCAGTCCACTTACCCGTTTGGTTGATTGTTTACCTCTTAAGTGGAGGTCGCGAGTTCGATCCTTGGATCGGTGCGGACGGACAGATTGTTGTCAAGACTGAGAATGCAATTCTTACCTGCGTAGCAACCACCAGTGAGCTCGTACATTGTATGGTGGCTGCGTGTACACACGCTGGTTGGGTACGCGTGTGTGACTGGGTACACCCGGTCGTGAGGAAAAACGAGTACCCRTGCTKGGGTGGGGTTAAGTACTCGTCTTGRGGCTTAACTCTCACCCTAGTCCACTTAGCGGTTTGGTTGAGTGTTWACCTCTTATCGTGGAGGTCGCGTGTTCGATCCTTGGATCGTTGCGGACAGATAGATCGTTGTCTGGAGTGAGAATGCAATTCTTACCTACGTAGCAACCAGCAGTGACGTCGGATATTGTATGGTGGTTGCGTCTACACACCCTRGTTGGGTGCGTTTGTGTGACTGGGTACATCGGGCCGTGGGGAAAAACGAGTACCCGTGTTGGGGTGGGGTTAAGTACTCATCTTGGGGCTTAACTTTCACCCCAGTCCACTTAGCCGTTTGGTTGAGTGTYTACCTCTTAACGTGGAGATCGCGTGTTCGAACCTTGGATCGGTGCGGACGGACAGATTGGTGTCTTGAGTGAGAATGCAAGTCCTACCTGCGTAGCGACCAGCAGTGAGGTCGTACAKTGTATGGTGGTTGCGTCTACACACCGTGGTGGGG